CATCCTTTACCCAGTTGAAACCATCGCCCTATTTCGTATTGAGGTACGGTCTAGGTCTTGTATATTGGTTAAGACCCTTTTTCTCTTTACCTGGTTGTAATCAATCTCCTATTTTGTATCGAGGTATGGTCTAGGTCTCACTGTTTGATTAAAACCTTCTTTTCTCCTGTCATGTGAGTGTGTTTAGATTATACCATTTTGTTTTGCTTCATTTGCATGAGGTTTGTCTCACCATATATTACATCTTGCATTGCATAAATCATGCACTTTCAAAAAGAAAAGAAAAAAAAGTTCAACTTTCAATTGCATTATCATATCATTTGCATGGTTACAACTATCACTGTTGCATCACTTGGCTACAATCTATTCACATTTGATTACAACATTTTTTGTCAGTTAATGCTAGCCCCCTCTTTTGGGTTGTAGGTTCAAACCACTCAGTTAATACTTGCCATTTTTCGGGATGACAATATTATCCCTATCTCAGGTTGATGGTTTAAACCACCATCAGTTAATACCTCCATTTTCCTGGGTTGTTAGTTGAGATTATTCATTGATTAATACCTCCCTTGTTTTGGGTTACAAGTTCCAACTATTCATCAATTACATTTATTTCTCTTATGTGGGTGGGTTTGGATTGTATCCTTTGTTATGCTTCATATCATTTGCACGAGGCTTGCCTCGTATATAACCTATTGCATTGCATTGTAGATCAGGAATTTTCAAAACAAATGGCTTTGTGAAGCGTGTATGTCCAGATATTAATTGTATTTCGAGTTGGCATTCTATCCCTGAACTACGCTAGTTTGATTCCTTGCAAAGGAATATGTAGGCAACCCTCGGGTTCAACCAACTGCATTTACATCTTGTTTGTTTGCCCAAATCTTACGGCCTTGTCAAAAGGGTCATCTTCGGGCTTTGACATTCACTCACGTCAAGAGATGACTTCGAGTTCTATCAAAGAGGGGCAACTATAGACACCTTATTTTGACTAGCCCTAAGACTTGGGCACTTTCTTTTGATTATCCGATGATAAAAACAAGAATGTGTTTCTTGCATGATTCTCAATAAAAAAAAAATATGGAATTTGTGCTTCATCCCAATCCTAGGCCTGTTTTGGCCTAGTGCTTAAGTCTCATTCAAAACTCTCTTTTGAAACCTTCTTTCCGCGCTTTTTTCTGAATATTTTTGTAGTGTTCCAAGGCTCACTTTTAAAATTCAAAATAAAACCTTTTCTAAGGAAATCGAGCAAAGAACAATATGAAAATAGGAGGAAAGGATGATAATTCTGTCAAAAAATCCCATTTCGTGCAAAATGATCAGCCACGACCAACTTGTTTAGCTGACCATCTTAATCGGCTTGCCAGCTAATTAGTTGGCCGACTTGCCAAGAAATTGGTCGACCAACAAAGGTTTTTTGGCTGACCAACCAATGAATTGGCCGACCGGCTAATTTGCCCAGGAGCAGGGCAGTTTCGACAGAATTCTTGCTGGATGCATGTGGGTCATGCCAATTCAAATCTTTTGTTAATAGATTCATGCATGAGGTACTCACACACACCCTCCATTATCTTCCTTTGGCCTCCATTGTCAAAAATAGGATCGTCTTCTTCCGAAACGGTGGAATCCACTTTCAACCACCATTGTCATCCCATCAACATTGTCTCCCATCTTATCTTCCACCTTCTTGATTAAGCCTGCATTCATTATTTGTATGGAGAGATAGAGAGGATCAGGAAGAGAAAAAAAAATAGAAATGAATTTAGAGAAAAGAGAGATAGAGAGAGAGAGAGAGAGAGAGAGAGAGATAGAGAGAAAAAGCCTTAAGCTTTGAGCCAAAACACTTCCATACACTGATATTCCATATTTCCATATATGAAAATCATCCCATAAATTCTATAGTAACCATATTCAAATAGATTTGATCAAAAGAGAGTGAGTGTTGTTGAAAAGAGAGAAAAACAAATAGTTGTAACTCTCTCCCCACACATACTATTAAACAATCCAAAAACACTATTCTAACTAGAATTTTGAAATTTCAAACTGAGAATTGAGAACACACTTCCGAGCTTGAGAGTGATCAAGAGAAAGTTTGGAAATCAAATCCTTCATTGGAAGGTAAATTTTGCACACTTTTTATTTTCTTTTATTTTTCTTGTATTTTCTTTCGTATGTTTGTTTTTCTTGCTTCAATTTCATGTTATAAACCTGCTGTAAGCTAATTGGAAGTGGTTAGTTGAGTCACTTGCATATTTTGCAGACCTTGAGATATATGCATAAATTAACAGTATTATTCATAAAGCCAAGTAATAATATTTGGTGAACCTTTAAATATCATTGCTCATAAATTCGTTTAAAACCATAGATAAATTTGTTTAACTTACAAATCAAATTTATTTTTTTTGGCGAAGCAATAGATAAAAATGTCACAATAGCACTATAATCATTATAAACCTATATTTATGACATTGGTAAGAACAATACTCTTTTTAAATCACAACATCTTACAATAGCTTTGTATTTATTTATTTATCTTTAAAATACTCATTAGATTTCAAATTTTTAAAAAGTATAATATGATCTCATATCCAATTAATAATTTGTATAAATTCATTTACCATATTACAAATTGTCAATATCTTCATCATACGTAACAATCATCTCTTCAATTTCTTGATATTGCTCATTTAGAAAAATAATATGATCACAAGGATCTTGAACTGTATGAGAATGTCTAGAAGGTTGCACGTGTTATACATGTTCAACTTTTATCAATAGACTGAATAGACACTTCAGATTCTACTTGCACTCTCACTTTCTCTATGTGAGAATAAAAAGACCAATTTATTATAATAGGCACAAGTATAAAATAAGATTTATATATTTAAACTGTTCACCAATCTAATAACTTCACAATTTAAAAGCTTAAAAGATTCTTATGTCAGAACCAAGATAATAGAACCACTGACAACTTACAAAGTAACAACAAATAGCTATAGGTCCCATTTTGATTTCAAAAATATATCATAAATTTTTTTTACCTCTGTACAATCCCAAACTCAAAAGTTATTCTAAATTTTCTACTAATTCACAATTCAAAAGTGTTTTTTTTTTTTAAATATTTTTAACTTAGTATTATATGTAAAGTATACACAAATATATATAGTAATTAAAAACATTCTATCACAAAAACACTCATATAATTTAAACATGTTAACATACACATCATCATTTTATTAGAGTCCAATTACGACGTTCAAGTACTCAACTTTCTTCTGAAGTTACAAGCATGATATATTTAAACTGATTCCATAGTTTTATAAAAAATTAATAAGAGGTTATGCACATTAACCAAAATTATCATGTTCACTATAATATCCATCTTCAATTAATAATTTTAAAAACTTTATTAGTGTGTTTTTTAACATAAATGAGATTAGACAAATGCATAACATCAATACTCATTTATGAAATCAATAAAATAATTTCTCCCACACACTTTATGATAATTAACATCCAAGTCAAAACAAAATCTATTTCAATTATTATTATTTTTTTATTTTATTTTATTACCAAGGTTACAAAAATTAAAAAAATAATCATACTTATTTAGTTTTGACATTATTAAATTGTTGTTATACGAACAATATATAAAATACCATTTTTTAAAACAAGATCAGTACTAGACTACAACTTAAATAACATGATCAAAAATAAAATTTTGATTAACACAAGGGCTTTTAAGTAGTTTATGAAACAAATAAGGATATCCCAAAGGGGGGAAGGGCGTCATAGCTCACAAAAATTTGAAAGAATTTTTCTTACTGGAGTTAATAATATGTAAAGAGATTTGCGGAATATTCTAAAAATGAAAACATAAAACACTGAAAAAAAAATAACGATTTGTAAAAGTCAAAGGTATTATATAGAATATTGTTGAGTATAATTTAGATTTTCTTATAAGAATCATCTAGTGGATATTCTAAAACTCTACTTTCTTAAATAGTTAACATTGAATATAATTTCAATCTTTCACAATATATTGAGGTGTTAATATAAATGGTTAAGAAGGTGCAATCCCGAGTATGTCAACATCTATATTAGTTAGATTTAAAACTAAGTCAATATCCATTTACGGATTCACAATCAAAACTTTAATGGAGTAAATTTGATTTTTATAAAAATATTTCCCTTTATTGCTTTCAATTCAATATAATATCAATCAATTATATATGGACAATAATAATCTCATAATCACAATTAATATTCTCAAATATTTAAAATGTATCACTCTTAAACTGAATATATAGAAAGCATTTTCACAACTCCAACTTTCAATTATACATAGGCAATTAGTATAATCTCACAAGAATATGCTGCGAATAAAGTTTAGCAATATTCTCAGATGTGCCAGGATGTATCACTATATAAACACCTTTGGGTTGAATATATAGAATACAATCAACATCTTTAAACTTCAATATAATCTTAATTAATTATACATGGGCAATAATTAGAATCTCACAACAATGGGCTGCAAATAAACTTTAACAATCTTGTTAGATGTTTCAGAATGTATCATCATATAAATACCTTTGGGCTAAATATATAAGATACATTCTGTTGGCTTATTTTTCCTACGAATGAAAATATCATAAATGCGAGCGTGCCAGCAAGGATTGAAAAATCCTTACAGATTAAATTCAAGCCAATTATCAAGCGATTGTGTTGACGGTTCTTTTGCCTCAACGAAGAGGACTTCAAGATTGCCAAGTGTAAAGAAAAGAAAAATTAAAAGAAGAATGGGGAACGGAGAAAGACGATTGAGTGAACAATCGAAGTAATAATTACTTACCTCTACTCCTATGCTTCGAAAAGAAAGTGCATAAAATGCTTCGAAATGGAAATGCTGAAAATAAATGCTTCGAAATATAAATCTATGTTAAACTACTCCTAAGATAAGGAAAATAACAAGAAATATTGAAATCAAGTGTCTTTGATTATGAATTCTGGATCGGATTATTAAGCTGAGAATGACCCTCCTCTGCTGGATTTCTTCCCTGTTCTTCCTCCGCCACTTTTTCCTTAGTCTTCTGACCCACATCTGCTGGATTTCTTCCCTGCTCTGCTGGATTATTAAGCTGAGAATGACCCTCCTCTGCTGGATTTCTTCCCTGTTCTTCCTCCGCCACTTTTTCCTTAGTCTTCTGACCCACATCTGCTGGATTTCTTCCCTGCTCTGCTGGATTATTAAGCTGAGAATGACCCTCCTCTGCTGGATTTCTTCCCTGTTCTTCCTCCGCCACTTTTTCCTTAGTCTTCTGACCCACATCTGCTGGATTTCTTCCCTGCTCTGCTGGATTATTAAGCTGAGAATGACCCTCCTCTGCTGGATTTCTTCCCTGTTCTTCCTCCGCCACTTTTTCCTTAGTCTTCTGACCCACATCTGCTGGATTTCTTCCCTGCTCTGCTGGATTATTAAGCTGAGAATGACCCTCCTCTGCTGGATTTCTTCCCTGTTCTTCCTCCGCCACTTTTTCCTTAGTCTTCTGACCCACATCTGCTGGATTTCTTCCCTGCTCTGCTGGATTATTAAGCTGAGAATGACCCTCCTCTGCTGGATTTCTTCCCTGTTCTTCCTCCGCCACTTTTTCCTTAGTCTTCTGACCCACATCTGCTGGATTTCTTCCCTGCTCTGCTGGATTATTAAGCTGAGAATGACCCTCCTCTGCTGGATTTCTTCCCTGTTCTTCCTCCGCCACTTTTTCCTTAGTCTTCTGACCCACATCTGCTGGATTTCTTCCCTGCTCTGCTGGATTATTAAGCTGAGAATGACCCTCCTCTGCTGGATTTCTTCCCTGTTCTTCCTCCGCCACTTTTTCCTTAGTCTTCTGACCCACATCTGCTGGATTTCTTCCCTGCTCTGCTGGATTATTAAGCTGAGAATGACCCTCCTCTGCTGGATTTCTTCCCTGTTCTTCCTCCGCCACTTTTTCCTTAGTCTTCTGACCCACATCTGCTGGATTTCTTCCCTGCTCTGCTGGATTATTAAGCTGAGAATGACCCTCCTCTGCTGGATTTCTTCCCTGTTCTTCCTCCGCCACTTTTTCCTTAGTCTTCTGACCCACATCTGCTGGATTTCTTCCCTGCTCTGCTGGATTATTAAGCTGAGAATGACCCTCCTCTGCTGGATTTCTTCCCTGTTCTTCCTCCGCCACTTTTTCCTTAGTCTTCTGACCCACATCTGCTGGATTTCTTCCCTGCTCTGCTGGATTATTAAGCTGAGAATGACCCTCCTCTGCTGGATTTCTTCCCTGTTCTTCCTCCGCCACTTTTTCCTTAGTCTTCTGACCCACATCTGCTGGATTTCTTCCCTGCTCTGCTGGATTATTAAGCTGAGAATGACCCTCCTCTGCTGGATTTCTTCCCTGTTCTTCCTCCGCCACTTTTTCCTTAGTCTTCTGACCCACATCTGCTGGATTTCTTCCCTGCTCTGCTGGATTATTAAGCTGAGAATGACCCTCCTCTGCTGGATTTCTTCCCTGTTCTTCCTCCGCCACTTTTTCCTTAGTCTTCTGACCCACATCTGCTGGATTTCTTCCCTGCTCTGCTGGATTATTAAGCTGAGAATGACCCTCCTCTGCTGGATTTCTTCCCTGTTCTTCCTCCGCCACTTTTTCCTTAGTCTTCTGACCCACATCTGCTGGATTTCTTCCCTGCTCTGCTGGATTATTAAGCTGAGAATGACCCTCCTCTGCTGGATTTCTTCCCTGTTCTTCCTCCGCCACTTTTTCCTTAGTCTTCTGACCCACATCTGCTGGATTTCTTCCCTGCTCTGCTGGATTATTAAGCTGAGAATGACCCTCCTCTGCTGGATTTCTTCCCTGTTCTTCCTCCGCCACTTTTTCCTTAGTCTTCTGTCCCACATCTCCTGCGGCCTTTACAGCCCTATTGAAAGCACCCGTAACCCACGAAGTCCCCGTCAAAATATAGCGGTTCTTCATGATCGCAGATCCAGCAGTACTAACTTTCTGCTCAGCAGCTGCAAAGGCAGACTTGGTCTTTTCAGAAACTTGGAACTTCTCGTCCATTTCCTTCACTTTGTCGTTCACTATAGTGGTGCCCACGCCGATCTTCTCACTAAGACCGATCTTCTGGTCCAGGGAAGCAACTTTGGCCGTGGCAGTGGAAGTGAACTGGTGCTTCTTATCAAAAGCCTTGGCTTGGTTGACCGCATCTTTGCCCAATATGAAGCCCTTGGCCAACATGCTGCTGACAACATCCTCTGCCTTTTGGACAGCAGACCCGGCAGCACCGGCACTTTTGTTCTCTGTGGACTGGACAGAATCATGTAAGAAAGTGAATCCATTTAGCGGGTAAAATTAAAGAAAATGATATGATCATACAATAGGTGTTACTGAAGCAGTGGGTGGCAACTTGTAATCTGGTGCAAGAGCTATGGCAATGGACTGGTCAACTATTGTTGATCCCTGAAGAACACCCAAATGACTTTATCATACATGAAAGAAACTTGAAACTTATAGAGAACAGAAAGGGCAAAAACAACTCATTCTTCATCTAAAGCAACTACAAAAGCTTGAAATACAAATAACTAAAGCACAACCAGCAAACATTGGTCTTCTTTCTAGAAGTACATAATCTAAATACAACACTCATTGAACAAAAAGTGCTGGCCCCAATTGAGTGATATGAGATAAACAATGTTTTATATATAGAATAGTGCATCTGTGCATGGTGCAAAAAAAATCTACATTGATACACAGACGACCTGTGAGAATGGAACATAATATGATAACTTGATCAACATCAACCAAGGGAGTTCTGATTCTAATTTGGTATTGGGTCTTATCTGTTCCACGTTCTTAAATTGAACATCACAAGTCTAGTTCAGATTTGGAATTGGATCTGATCTGTTCCATGTTCTTAACTTGAACATCAGTGGCAAAAGTAAAACCAATAGACCCAAGTTCCAAGGATATCCAAAAGTATTCCCTAATATTAAAGCACACAAGATTCTGAGATGAATTTCAAATTTTAATTCTTCAAAGACAGACTTCAATTAAAAGCAAGAATTCTTGTGCTTGAAAGAGCACACCAGTTAAACTTGTAAAGAAACATGATTTAAGTCTTTACATAATGTTATCAGTTGAAGATAGGATACCAAAAGTATAGCCTATGGGAAAAAATGAAATAACTGTTATATGAACTTTAGTCATGTTGATTATTATAGATAAAGTATAATACAATGAAAGCTCTCTAATGAGTAGGACAGTAGTAAATCAACTGACATTCAAAAATGAAAAAATATAATAGCTTCAAGGCCTAGAGAAGTGAATGAACCGATAGAAGAACCGCAGTCTCTGCGCCCTGAGGATCCTTAAAGGTAACATAAGCAATCTGAGACCGCTCATTCTCACTGCAAAAAAAAAAGAAAAGAAAAAAAAGAATGACAACCTTGACATCCATAGAATTTAATATCATTTGAATAGGCAGCCAAGAAAATGGAATAAGTAAAAACAAACAGGAGTGGGGGGAGGCAAGAGGAGAGAAATTATTGGAATTTCATGACTACTAAAGCTCAGAAAAATTGCTTATGACTCCAGATAATCAGTTCTTTTCCCACAATTTCACAGTAACAAAGTGGAAGAACAACTGTTCACAATGCAGACAGAAAGCCAAAATTACTCCAACAACGAACCTGTGCATTTCCACATATTCAATTTCACCAGAAAATGAAAAGAATTCCTTTATGTCCTGGTCAGTTGCACCTAAGGAGACGTTGCTGACTTTCACAGTTCTTACCTGTAACGACAAGAACCCACCCAAACCCAAGAGAAGAAACAAAAATCAAATAAGTCAAGAATGCTCGTGTGTAATTGCATAGTCCATTGACGTTTCAAAGCACATCATCACCTTCCAGATACAAACATGAGCAAATCACATCTGTGAGGTGAATACAACTAACAGAAATCATTGATATTTGCACATAAGTAAGAACATTTCAAAAATTCTACGTCAACCATAATCTGCAAATTCTTGTTGATGCTTGTATTCACCTTCAATGACTGAACAACAGTAACACATGTGAAACCAAAACTTAGATAAAGGACAGAACTTCTCGTTCGAAAGGGACCCCACTAAATAATCACTTGCAATTTGAGTCAAATAGGGAGGAAAACCTTCTACAGATTCTTTATTAACTCTTGTTGCAACTCGACGTTTATTAAACATTTAACAATTTGCAAATAGAACATTTAATGGCAAGGTTAAGAATATCGTACTCTTAATAAATAAAAGGTTTGGCTTAGATGATTTTTATATTATTTCATTAATAAGGATTTAGAAAGTTTTAAAATAAGCCACATTTCATGTGTGGGAATATAAACAACAAATAATAAACTTGAATTTTCAGAAGAGTCCTACCACGGACAAACCATTTTCTAGTGTTCACTTACAACGGGAGTGGAGCCCACATCATCACATAGTGTGGGTCCCACTCCCATTGTGAGTAAGTGATAATACAAAATTGTATTTCTCTAATCACATTCTTTTGACAAAAGCCTCAACCCGAACCTTTTTTCAAGGGAGAAGTGCAAACACTTGAACTACTATGGTAAATTTTATGCTTATCAACATTCTCTCATACCATACAGGTTGATGATGCCACAGATTTCACTGATACTATTATTTAAAAATATAACTCCACTTGAAATCTCAAGCCCTTGAGTTTTTCAACATACCTAAACTGTCTCCATAGTCAAACAATAATTACTATATGTTTATATTGTTCTTTAAGAATATAACATATGTTAGGGCTGAGGAAAAAATTGAAAAAATCAAAAACCTGTCCGATCCAGTTCAAACTACTCGGTTTGGTTTGGTTTTTTCAATGAATGATTTGGTTTCAGTTCTTAAAATAAGTAAACCGTACCTCATGGTTTGGTTTGTGGTTTATAGTCATAGTTCCGGTTTAGAACCAAACTGGACCACTTAAATATGTACACCCACATATATATATACATATACATATATATATTTTTTATTTGCTGTTGACACTCAGAATATCTTATTATTAGACCATCTCCAATTTAGACTCAAATCTTTTATCAAATTTAAATTTGATGAAAACAATACGTTTCACCATATTGGTATCAAATGAAGGAGACCCTACTTTTTTCGTCAAATTAATGGAGCGTTTAACCTTTCATCAAATCTCGCAAGTCATCGGTGGACGGCAGGATGAATGACCAGCCGGACAATCTGGTGAACGACCAGATTGGGAAAATTTTGAAAAAAATTTACACTAGGCCAAACGACCACCTGGACATCCTTCCGGTCGTCTGATTGTTTGATGAAAATTGAAAATTTAGTGTTAGAATGCTTGCTATCTGATTAAGCTTTTAACCCAAATCTTTACTCAAATTCGATGAAAAAAAAAAAAGAGTTGGAGATGCTCTTATCCCATATATAAGTCATAAGGTCTCTTATCTTGCAAAGTGTGTGGGCTCTTAAATATAAGACAAAACTAGGTTTAAACAATCATTCAAATAATTATTAGTTATAAAATGATGATATATTATTACATTTGTTACTATGACAATATTTATAAAAACTTGTTTGGTTTGTATCTGAGAAACATGTTTTGAGATAAAAAGTACGAAAATTAGTTTGGTTTGGTTTTTTTTTAAAAAATGTTTTGAAAAATTATTTTGAGAAAGAGTTTTGAAAAAAGTGATTGATTTGATGTGTATGAGAGAGAGATTTGTTTGGAAAACTTGTAAACCAAACAAGTTTTGGAAAAAAAATTTGAGAAAATTTGTTTAATTTGATTACTTTTGAAAACTTATTTATAGAGAATTTTTCTCAAAATTTTTTGAGAAACACAAAACCAAACAAGGCCATATTTCCAAACCGAATCAAACCGTGCTTTTGTTCGATTTGGTTCCAAGATTTTGGTGGTTTGATTGGGTTTCAAATTTCATAGAACTTCAAAATCGAACCAAACCGAAGCATGCTCACTCCTACCATATATGAGGAACAATAACATGAATGAATTACACCCAAAAATTCATTAAAAAAAAAAAAACCATCCACCACTCCACACAACAATCCATTCTCTGGGTGTTGTTCTGGAAAGTGGCCGAATCAACCCGATCTACACAGTAGGAATAATTACGAAACTCAGATATATCATCACGTTCACCATATAATTGAATACCCAATATATATGTTACTATAAATAAATAAAATTTTCAAATACTAACCGACATTGAAACAAATTAGGAATTGAAGCGGTGGCAAAGCGCAGGAATATGAGAGAGAGAGAGAGACAGAGAGAAAATAAGGGGTAAAGGTTAGAGAGGATTGCGAGAGATATAAAAAGTAATTTGGTTTTGGTTTTGGGGAAGAAATATCAAAGATTTGAGGTTGGCGAGGGACGGAGGAAGGAAAGCAGGGTGCGTGATCAGTGAGGCGGTGAGGGTTGTGTCGTGTCGTGTCAGCTTTTGAAATGTGAACACTTCTAACGTGTACGTGGTTTTCACTCAAAATTTTTTTTTTTCTAAATTACAAATATATATATATTTTATCTTATCAGAAATTTTATGTAATATAAAATTAAGGGATATTTACTATTTCATCTCACAAATAAATATTTTAATTAATTTTAAATTTTTTTATTAATCTGCTAAGTTTTATTAGTGGAGAAATTCTTTTCATGTGGTCATATTTTTAATTTTGATAATGTTTTGGTGGACGATTATATCATTTTATTAATGTGGCAGGTATGATGTGATATTTCAATGTGACAGATATTAATGTGACACTCCAACGCGCCAGGTATGATGTGATACTCCGTGGTGGTTTGGAAAGTTGATAAAAAATTGACTTTTTGACTTTTTTGACAAAAAATTGGATTGTTTTTGGGTAAAAGTTACTTTTTTAACTAAAAAAACTAAAAAGCCAAAAAATTGATTTTTTACCATTGTTCCCAAAAGACCCCTCCAACAAAATTAAAAACTCATTAGTGTATTTTTTTTTCAAATGTGACAACATGGTGAGTATATTGTGACGCAAAAAAATTAAAAATTTCTCAGTATAATTTTCTCAAATGTAACATGTGATACTCTAACGTAGCGAGTATAATGTGACAATATCTTTAATGTATTTTTTTCAAATGTGATGATGTAATGGGTATGATAAGACAACTAAACACTTCGTAATATATATATATAATTTTTTTTTCTGAATGTGACAATGTGACATTAATGATGTGATACTTTAAAATAATTAAAAATTTCTTAGTATATTTTTTTTAAATATGATAACGTGACGGATATGATGTAATATTCTAAAAAACTACAAACTCCTTAGTATACTTTTCTCAAATGTAACATGTGACACTTCAAAAAAATTAAAAAAGTTGTTAGTGTACTTTTTTTAAATGCAACACTCTAATGTAGCGAACAAATAAGTTATTACACATCCAAAACAACTAAATGGATTATAAGAAAAAAATATAGGACTATACAGATCACAAGTCTAAAATATGGGACTTATTAATTAATTTCCCTATAATTAATTAAAAAAAATAAAATTCACAATTATTTTTTTGAAAATTGATTTCCAAATTAATATTTTTCGTTCAAAACTTGATTTCCGAAGTGAGCTTTGATTTAGTTTTTTTTTTTTTTTTTAAAATAGTGAAATATCCCTCTTTAACTTTGTATAGTAAGAAAGGTCCAAGATATTTTTTTTATTAGTTAAGATTCTTTAACATTTTCATAAAAAAAATTCGACTCAGAAAAATTTCACTTGATTCAGAGAAATTTTGACTCAAACTCAAATTTCTCTGGTATTATCACATAGAAATTTTGAAATTTCTTTATGAAATCAAAGAAATTTCTTTGTGAAAATTAAAATTTCTTTAAGTCGGGCAAAATTTCTTTGAGTTGAATTTTCTCTGTAGAAATGTTAAGAGACCTTAACTACTATGAAAATATTGTATATCATTTATCTTATAAAATCTTAATATTAGGGATCTTAAAAAAAAATCCTATTTTTTTTACTCAAAAGATGCGCACTAAGATTTTTTTTTTATTTTTAAAAGATGTATGAGACACTTTGATTTAATATTAAGGGTGTGTGTTTGATGTCCATTATAATCATTTTATTTTAGGATAAAAATATCATTAAGATAATATTTCATTAAATGTGTATATATAGATAAATAAATGTGTGGAAATATAATTTTCTTCTACTTGATTAGATAGATTGAAAAAGTGAAAAAAAAAATTACAAAAAAATTTCAAAAATAACAAAAAGTTAAAAATAATTGATTTTTTCTTCTTTTTTTTTTTTTTGGCTATTTTTGGATTTTTTTAGATATTTAGATTTTTTTTTTTTAAGGTTCATGAAAGTTAAAAAATTTTGATATAATTTTTTTAAAAAATATCACTAAAGATAATAAAAAAAATTCAAAAAAAAATCACTTTTTTAAGTAAGTTCAAACCTTATGAATGAATTTTTTATACTAAAATCAAGTGCATTTTGTTTATGAAAAAATTAGTGAAATATCCCTCTCCAACTTTAGGTAGTAAGAGAGGTTTAATATAAATTTACTTATTAATTAAGGTCCCTCAATATATAAAATACCTAATTTACACTCAAATTCACAAACTCATCCAGACTCTAACCAAAACCCACTCAACTTGACTCACCCATGAGAAGGGAGAGAGAGAGGTGTTGAGAGAGCAACAGAGACTCAAGTTCTAATGAAACACAAGTAGAATCGCTATTATCGTCGCCATAAAAAGATTAAACCATTTGAATCTCTATCGCTAGGTCATTTGTGCAAACAATTTCGTCTTTATAGTCCAATCAATCAAAGTAGTGAATTATAGAAACGTGTGTGTGTTAGCAAAAATTTGGTTTGGGTGTAATATCGATAAACAACAAATAAACTAATTTTCACAAATAACAGGATCAAGCAATATGGTTGAGTGTCTTAATGTCTAGATAGGTTCAAGGACTTCTTTGAAGGTTTACTTCTTGAAAAAACAAAGTAAATACAACTAGAAATTGATTCTTAATAAAGAAACTTATCACTTTAACCATAAGGATCAAATTACAAGTTTTTTGACACTACAATCGATAAAACTTTGTACAGACTAAAAATGCTAACCACTACTACTATTGTTACTCCTAATTACAAGTACTACTATTCCTAGATACATTAGACTACTCCTAGATTTCTCAAGTTGTAAGTTGATTTTTCTATCCCTCCTTCTTCGAATTTCCAGTCTTTATGCCACTGGTCATGTTGTCCATATGTTGCCACGTGTTCCATCATGAAGTAGGTCACTTCCACTTCTTTGAATAACTACTTATGATCTCCACAACTGCCTGTAACTGCTTCCTCTGCTGTAGCCTTGTCTTTCTCTTCAATATGTGCGAATAAACCACGTGTCCTGCATTAACATACCCTTAAACTTATGGCTCAACACTTGCGCCACGTTTAGCCATGTTCCATTACATTTTCAGGCATATCGATAGAAGAAACTGCCTCTGCTATCACTGCATATGAAATTGCTCCTTTAATTGCTTCAATCTTGTCACTTGTTCTACATTTCAGAGACCACATGTGTCACCAATGTAACGCCCCAAATTTCTAGCCCAAATGATAATACAACAATCATGACTTTTTCAAAGAAAACCGAATATAAATCTCCAAACTTACGTTACATAATACAATAGTTCTTCATACAACAATACATTAATCCAACAATAAGTAAATAAACAAATAAATACCCCCAAGGGTTTACAAGTTTCCAAGGCTTGAGCCTGGTTACACAAAACGATTATTCAAACTCACACACATACAACCCTTGGCTTACACACAGAGTCAGAGCAAAATAAGAGTCTCGTACTCTCAACACACATTTCCTCACCTTTAGTTAGGCGGCATCACCATATATTTTCCTGCACAAAAATCCCGTAGGGTGAGCATAAAGCTCAGTAGGAAATCCTTAACAAAGTATATACATTTTATACAAGTCTCAAGAGATGAAATGCACATGCCATGCTATGCCTCTTTTTGAAGATAAATCACATTTTTATCTTTTGAAAACAATCATGCTCAATGATGTCGTGCAATTTTAATTGTTCAAAACTTAACAATTTATTTCAAGGGCGGTAAATACGACTCTGGTAATCCTTAGATCGGTGTTTGCAAGTAGACTATACAAGTACTACCAAATTGTTATTTTTACCGATATTAATCGAAAGGCTCGACACCTATCCGCGCGGGTTTTCGGTCTTTCACCCTAGACTCTCAGACCAACTTTTTTAATATCATCTACACCACCTATCAAGACTTACCAACGTATTTACGCCAAAACCATTTCATGAAAACTTGTTTCTCAACATTCTTTTCTCAATGTAAGTTTTCAAATCAACTTTCAAAGTTTAATATAATCAAATGAATTGTTATGTCAATAACACAAGATGAATACAAATACTTTTATTCTAATTCATCATCCAAGGAATAACACAATTCCCTCTTTTCACGTATCCTCAATAATTAGTCATTTCAAGACTATTTCAACGTTTTGAACAATAATTTCCAAAACGAATAACAATTCTCATATTCCCTGAAATTTATCATTTATAAAAATATAAATAAGAAATTTTCCAAACATTCATTTATTTTGACACACAAAATAAATACAACAATATCATTCATGGATTTTTAGTCTCTTTTAAAAAAAACCCCAAATTCTAGGTTTTCTCACCAAAACTTTCCAAAATCATCTTTTTTGAAAGAAAACTTTCCAAAATCATATTTTCTTCAATCAACGAAGATCAAAACCCATAAGATCATTTTAAAAGAACAAGAGACAAACCCACTTTCAAAATCGCTCAACTTCTTGAATCAAAAATCAATTTTCAAAGCTATCGAAAGATGATTTCGAAAAAAAATATAGATCTTGCAATATATATATATATATAACTTTAAGAAAATCCCTACCTCAAGTTTTGAAGAAGAAATGAGATGTAACCCCCAAAATCAACGGTGTTGAAACTCGATCTTCACCGCACACAATGAAGCCCTCGATAAGTTAACCAACTTTGATGAAGAACTTATGACAGAACTCTAATGGATCTTGAGAAATCAAGGTTTTGATCCAATTTGGCGTAGGGAATGTAGAAAGAAGGGAGAGGAAAGGGTTTTTAGAGAGAGAGAGATACACAAAAATGATCTGAAATATCAGATTCATGAACTGATATAACATGGTCCGCTCGAGCGTGGAAAGCCCCGCTCGAGCATCAAATACACTTTCCCAGTACTTTTGCAGACAGGTCAAACTTCTGAAACCAAACATTCTCCGCTCGAGCGCATAAACGGCCGCTTGAGTGGACAAGTAACTTCTAATGAATTTTACATTTTTGCTTCGGAGGCGCTGCCCCTCAACCCCGCTTAGGAGCTGCCCTAGGACCTACCAAGG